TTTTGATAATTGATAAGACCCCTTGTAACCTCAAAATAAATATTTATTCCCGTGTGATAAGTTGTAATGGCCTATCCATTCTTCTATTATCTATGAGTATTGTATACATATCTGTGGCAGCAGCTGTAACTGCTCAAGGTTTATAGATAATATTATTATTATTATTATTATCTATAAACCTTGGTAACTGCTCAGCTATGGCTTCTGATAATGAATAACATCGTTAACCCAAAACCTTTGTTAAAACGTAAAAAACAAAAAATAGCAATAACTGTTACTTTTTCTTCCAAGTAACAGCTTGTTCCTTTTACTTTAGTAGTAACTGTTATAAATCACTGTTACTGTTATTTTATCCCATCACTATTCGGTACATCGAAAATGTCCTCTTTAAGATATCTTAACGTGAGTCAATGTTCATTCTAATAAAAATTAATAATCAAGTTTATTGTATCTAATATTATATTATCGCCGTGTTTCAGCGCTCTTCGCGATGTCCACAAGCCGCTGGAGTCATAGATCCAATGCAAGTGGATGCACCTCCAGAAGAAAACGATAACAATGAAGAAGAAGTATATGAAGTCGACATTGACTCATTTGTAAGTCTCATGAACAATTACTTTTTATGTCTAATAAACGGTATTATTATTGTTCATAGGACCTCGAGGCATATGCTAACAATTACACTGGATTAGCTCGTATTTACAGGTTGATATATATAGCGGATCATTGTCCAAAACTAAGATCAGATGCATTATGTTTGGCAATTTCACATGTTGTCACAACCATGAATGCTAATTTGTATCAAGTTCTACATCAAAAATTACAACAATGTCAAGGGTGATTATTTTATCAAATTTATATACAATTGTAATTACATTTTTGTGTGTAATAGACACGTACTACCTGACGTAACTGGTGGTACTCCTATGGATACAGGATTGCCAGTTTTCAATGCTAGTTGGGTGGAGACTACTACTCAAAAAGCTGCGATGAAACTTGAAAAACTAGATGGAGATCTAAAAAATTATAAGAGTAATTCAATTAAGGAAAGTATTCGACGGGGTCATAATGAAATTGGTGACCATTATGTCAATTGTGGAGACCTCATTGAAGCTACAAAAAGTTATTCTAAAGCTCGAGACTATTGTACTAGTTCTACACATGTCATATCGATGTGCCTCAACATAATAAAAGTATGTACAAATTATAGAATAGCATTATTTACCAAAATAATTTACAATCAAGTCAGGAATCAGAGTAAACTGTAATAAATAATTATGCTATGCTAGATTCTGATCTACAGGAAGAATACAGAACATTGGTAGACCACATACTATGCTCTTATTTATACTTAGATAGTATACAAAACGAAGGAAGACCACGTATTGAGAGATATCCATTAAAACTTTTAATTCCTTAAATAACAATACATTATAAACTTCTATTTAATTTTTAAATAAATTAATAAAATGTTGAAGTAAGATGATCTTTAATATTCGTAACTAATTGCTAGAATATAGCAGTTTAAATACAATTGTACATTTATTGTAAAACTAAATATCTGACTTCCTTAAAATTAACTTTATTCAATTGTGATCAAATGATAATCATTTTTATTAAAAATATATAATTTATATACAGTTATGATTTACTATTTATGATTATTATGTTAATCTATGTGATTGATGCAAAATTTAAATTTTTCCTCTTTCCCAGTACTTACTAGAAGTGAAATTACAAAATACAAACCATTAGCCTCAATTTTTCATTAAAAGTCTGTTTCTTATGAATTTACCTCTACAAATTTATCTTTATATAATTTTCAAATTAATAACATTGATTATAGATAGGCTTAGGGACTTTTAGCATTTGCATACTTTTTTTTAATTATTGTTAAATATAGCAGAGTGCAAAATAAATTTGTTTCTCAGTGTCATGATATTAGATCTAAAACTTTATTGTGCATATTTTTGCATATTTTGACAAATTTTTCAAATTTAAAATTAAAAACTATATATACATATTTCAACCGATCGAAAAAAATAAAAGGACTAAAAGGACTTAATACTTCCAGTAATATGCTACATGCAAACTACCTCTTATATCTCGTTATAATTTTTGTGCAAGTATAAATATTACTATAAACCCGTATTGACCATTCTAATCTATCGATCTAACCTGCTGAATATCGACTGGATATCTATAAAATAATAGATTATTTGTTTAGTGTTCAGTTCAGTTGATTCGTCATTTTTCTTGCATCTCACAACCACGCAATGTCGAATAATATATAAAACGTCATACGAATATATTTTGTAACATTGTGTAATGCCGAAAATATAAGTCTATGATTAGCAGACTACAAATTTTTGTTTCGGAGTTTAAAGATACATTTACATACGGTGGACCAGGGGTGTATTCAGACTTACTTTTAGGGGAGGGTGGGACAAATCAAATTTTTTCTTTAATTCAGGCTCAAAATGTACAAGTAAAATGTTTGGTAATATTTAAATCAGGCAAATCCTTAATGGTTGTAGTTTTTTTTTTTTTTTTAATCTAATGCCGAGTCCACTTAGAATCGACTTTTGGTAGTTTTTTTTTAACGCCTGTTTGTGTTTTATTTGATTTTTCACTAAGTATGGACCTGACAAAAAGCCCAATTCAATATTCACAGCTACGTGTTATTTGATTTCATTATAAAATAATCCACATTAAAAAAATTTAAAATATATATCTCACATATCATCGATTCATTAAATATGGATTCAGGAGAGAGGCAACCTCCCCCTTCTTCTTCCCTCCCAAAAAAATACGCCCCTAGGATGGACACATTTTATTTTGTATACTATGTGGTCTTTTTTTTTTTTTAATGCATATTTACATGCATATTTATGTATTTTATAGAGCTATAAGTCCTTAAGCCTAATTATAAATATTATTTTTATTATAGTCTAAAATAAAAGTTATTTTTTTAAATTTAATTCCTATTTTTCCTTAACATTTATAATTTTATGTAGTTTTTGTATTATTTAAAAATTTTTTTTTTCAGGTTGGAATTTATTTGCAAAATTGGTCACATGTTGTCAATTACATAATTAAAGCAGAATCTACACCAGATTTTACTGAAGTAATAATTACTAATGATATATTAATATAAAATAAAAAATATTTATTTGGCATTTATGTTTGATATACTTAGAATTCTGATCTTCAAACTACCTACAGTTCCACCCTAAAATGTATGACAGGTCTAGCTGAACTAGCTAGCCGTAAATACAAAGTAGCTGCTCATAATTTTTTGCGAACTAATTTAGATTACTGGGATTCTTGTGATGTAATGACACCTAATGATATTGCTATTTATGGAGGAATTTGTGCATTAGCTACTTTTAACCGCTTAGAATTGCAAAATAGTGTAATTTGCAATAAGTAAGTTATTCGATAATATATCATGTATATCTATAAAAAATAATTTTATATATTAAAGAAGTTTAAATTCCATATTTATTTTATTTATTAATAATTGAAATTAATTATTATTAATTTATTATATTATGATAGAGGTACAGAAAATATTATTAAATGTCATTAAATATTTTTTATTTTGGCCACAAATTTTAAGTTTATGTATTATATTAAACATTGTTCCGTTTCTCTTATAATTTAAGTTGTAAGAACATAAATAATAAATATATAATTTTAATTAATTTTGTGTTTTAAGTAAGCACTAATTTAATAATTGTATAAATGTACATGCATATTCAAAGATTTGCATTAAGCTTAACAAATATAACTTTTTAATTTTTAATGAGCCTATTTCAGTTGTTATTTGGTCATGTTAGGTCAGGTATGAATGTTATGATCCTATCTGGGTTAAATTATAAGAATGGTCAAATCTTTGGAAGTATAATTTTAAAGGTATTATATATTTTATTTTCTATTGAAGGATCAGTGTCATTATTTAGCTTAAAAATTATGGGTAGTTGTTGATTGAATGTTAACGCTTTTTCTTTGTTATTTCCTTCTAATTAAAAAAATATATTTTAATTCATTCAGTTTTTCTAGTGTTTATATATATAATTGTGCTTAGTATTAATGACAGAATTTTTCATTCTTTCCCAAATTGATCTGACTTGTTGTTTTTCTTCTATAATAGTTAGTCTTATTAAGGAATTGTCAAATGATTTAATGTCTAGGATTTTTGTTAATTTCTTAGACGATCCTGACCAAATTGTAGGAATGAATTTAGAGGATATGACTAAAAAATTGTTGAAGGTAATAACTTAATTAAAACAATTTCTCATAAGAGGATTTAAGTACCATTCCCACTTTGAATATGTTTGAATTAAAATAATTTCCTTTAAATATCTTGAATAATACAAAATAATTATAAATTATACATAAAATTAAAATATTACAGTTTGTAATATTACTAATAATTTTTTTTTTCTTGGTATTATTTATTAGACATTAATTATGTCACTACTTTTATTGCTTTATTTACAGCTCGTTCAAATTATTCCTTGAACTTGAACCTGAAATACGTGATGCAATTTTTAAGTTTTATGAATCAAAATATGAAATTTGTTTAACAATTTTAGATAAAATAAAGGTATTAAACAATTATTAATTAATAACCTAATTTAAATTTAACTTTTAATATTTTATCAATAACTATTAAAATAAAATTATATTTTGTCTTAGCCAACTCTACTCCTTGATATGTACATTGGGTCTCACATAAATCAGCTTTATTCTAATATTAGAAGCAAAGCAATGATTCAATATTTCTGGTAAATACATTTTCAAAATTATTAGAATTTTTTTTATTTTTTTATTAAGAAAATATTATTAAATTAATTTTTTTACAGTCCATATGACTCTGCTGATTTAAGGAAAATGGCATTGTGTTTCAATACTCCTTTACCTGATTTAGAAGATGAACTTATGCAACTAATTTTAGATGGACATATCAAAGCTCGTATTGACTCAATTAACAAAGTAAGTGTTTCAGATTGATTAAAATTCAAACTGTTAAGATATCCTATGAACATTTATTTACATTATTTAATTAATTCAATTTTTTTTTTTTAGATTCTTTATGCTAGACATCCAAATCAAAGAGTAGAAACATTTGAGAAAGCTATGTCAATGGCTCAACAATACAGTAGATATATGCATATTTTAGTACTAAAAAGTCAAATGATTAAACATCAGACAAATGCTAAGGTCAGTGAACGAGAACGCCACAATCATCTTGGAAAAACTCTAAATGTAGATTTTGTAAAATTATCTGGATAAAGTTATTCTTCATCTTTTAACTATTTATGAAATATTATATTTGTCTTATCATTTTCATAAAAAAAAAAATTGAATAAAAATAATTTTTTTTTTTTTAAATTATTATTTTCACAAAAGCAGTATCATTGATAAATATATTTAATTTTTTTTAAATACTTATCAAAGGAACACTTCTATGTTCATTTCTAAGTTCTTCTAAGTTTTTTCTAACCAATTATTTATTGAATCATATAAATATACCTTAACTAACAGTGACCGCCATAAACATTTATTTAGTGAAATATGTTTTCAACTTTTTTATTTAAAATTTAAAGTTTTAGTTTTTGTATCATAATGAAGAAAAATATTGTTAAATCTTATTAAAGAATATATCAGTTATTTTAAAAAAATGTATTAAATATAAATTAAGTTGAAAAAAAAATTATTTGATTTAAAAACCATTTTTTTTATGCAAAATGTATACAAATATAATTATAACTTATTCAACTGTAATTACAAAACTTGAGAAAACGTTTCCTTTTAACAATAGTTAAAAGTTTAGATCTAGCTTATTAATAATAATATATTATTATGATTTTACTTTTATTTTTTATACCATATTTAAGTAAATTTTTATTTTTTTTTTACTTTCAATAACAATTGTAAAAATAAATAAATACATATAAACCCATTTTTTTAATGTGGTGTATTCAATAATCATATTTGTGGAATTAATTTAGATAATATTTTTAAAATTGATTCTTTTAAGTATGGATGGTAAAATATGTTGATTACTTGTATACATAATTTATTTTAAAACAATGAGTACAATAATAATAAAATATTTTCTCCCTATTTAAACGTGTTCTTAAATATTTCACAGCTAGTATTTTAAAATTAATATAATTATTTGTAGAAACAAATGTAATTACATATTTTAATAATTTTTTAAAATTCTTTTTTAGGACTTACTGAGGATTATAATCTTATAATGTGCATTTTAAATCCACATATATTTTTTAATAATTTAGGATTATAATAAATTTATAAATTTAATTAGTTACATTATATATTATTATTTTTAAAAAAAATGTAATTTATATAATTACTTATAAAAAATTGAGTTATTATGAAAAGTTAGCTGATAAAATAATTAAATAGACAAATAATAAATATATCTATTAAATAGATTTTTATATATAATATCTAAGATAAGTTTAATTTATTAAAGATTTTATTTTTATTTTGATAGTTATTTATGCAAATTTCTATGTAAATATTGATAATTAATGAACTAGTTCCTATCTTAAACAAATAAATAACATCAATGTAAAGGTTTTTATCCATAATTTATTATTGTAATATTAATTGGCGTAGTTCAAGTATTGTATCTATATGCTACATCTAGTCATATTTTACACCTAACACTTGGTTAAACAAATTATATTTGACCAGAGGTGTTGTTTAATGATTAATTATATAATTTCTAATGTTTAACGCCCTTCATATTTTATGTATAAATTACATTTTTTTTTTTAAACACATTAAAATTTTAATGTTTTTAGCACTTTGAACCTGAACATTGCTAATACTTATAGCTATAATATATACATTTTAACCTAAACAATTGAGGTATAACAAATTTTAAGTAACCATGTCCTATATTCTATGTGAAAATTTGGGTTTTAAGATCATTTTTTTTTTTTTTTTTATTATCAACCATTTCATTATAAAATACAATTTTAAGTATCATAGTAAATAATAAAATAATAAGATAATAGAAAAATTATCTACACCTTTAAGCAAAGCTTGTGGCGGAGAGGGAGTTATAGGATACATGATTAAATAGATAATTATAAATAAACAATTAATTTAACAAAATAGTTAAATAATACTAATCGATTTACAAAAGATTGTATGAAAAATTGAATTATACAGCAAGAGAAACATAAAATATCAGTATAAAATACATAGTATTTCTTATTGATATATACATTACAAATTTTATTTGTAAAACAGTTAAACTCATTACCTATTACAATACTAAGAATAGCCAACTCAGAATTTCCTTTTTTATTTTTGTAGTTATACAATTTCCCTCTGTTTGGTATATTTCTTTTTTTTATACTTATAGGCATTAAATTATAACTTTTAGGACAGAGGTTCCCAACCTTTTTTGACTCACGGCACCCTTTGTTATTTTCTAAAAATTTGGATGTACGCTATAGCCTATGCTCTATATTCTATAGTTTATACTGAATACACAATAGTAATATATCATATATTTAAGTATTTCACCGTAAATAACTTTAAAACAGTTCACATCAAATCGATAGCAATCGAACCAGTATGAAAATTAAAATAGATTGAACATCTCAATATTACTATGTAAAAATTATATGTGTTATACAATTAATACATTATATTATATTGTATATACCTAATTAATTATACACAATAGGTTTTATACTATAGACATAGAGTATAGTCTGTTTTATTACTCACAGTGCTATATTTTTCATGAAGGCATTTAAAAAAAATATATATATTTCAAATATTTTTGCGGCACCCTAAATTTCAGTTTACGGTACCCTAGAGTGCCGCGGCACCCTGGTTGGGAACCTCTGTTTTAGGACCTAGATACCCCAAGAATTTTTGACTAAACGCTTTCCTAGTATACTCAATTTAGTGTTCTCTTTTAACTATAACATTTTTCATAACCACAAAGGATTCAAAGTTTTTGATAATATACAAAATAATTATTTTTATATATACAGACTCAAATGGAAGGACATTGAATAACGAAGTTTTCTTTAGTTGAACCTATTAAAGTATTTTAACTTAAGCATATCCTAATAATTTTTTTTTTTTTTTTTGTAAATATTGTAGTGGTCTAGATGAATTTTGATTTAGCTCCCTCCAAACTAATAAACCCTATTAGAATATTGCTTGAAATAATGATAAGTAAATTATGTGCATAATTTGGATTGGTAGAAACAAACATAATTTATAAAAGAAAAATAACTTTCCAGTTTTTCTCATACAAATTTCAATAATTACATGGTAAAGATTTTAATGTAAAATATATAAATCCAAAGAATATGTCTTGAGTTATAGTCATTTTAATTTCTAAAGATGTGAAAAATCTTTTAGTTAGTATCTTTTAAACAATAATAAATATAAATTATTAGTATAAGGTAGTTTCTTATTGAAACTGTTCATGCACTATTGTATGTTACATCTTATAGATATGATAATATATATTATAATAGAATAGAATAGATATAATTAGAATAAAGTGTACGACATTTTGTTTTGTTTTTTTTACGTTTTTTGTTTATTAATACTATTTTGGGTACTTTTTTTCCATTTAAGTTACATTTTTTCAAAATATGTTCTAAATAAACGTATTTGAAATGTTAATATTTATTTTTATATTATGTTGAACAAGTCTTGTTCAATCTTGGACAACCCGTGCGTCCAGTTTGTCACATCCATATGTTATATAGCAGTGTTTCCCAACTTTTTTTACCCGCGGAACCTTAGCAGGAGATTTAACGTTTTGTGGAACTCCAATATTTTTTCTATAATATTAATACAGACATATGTTTTGTATACTTAAATGAGTGGGTTACCAGACACTTCCGGCACAAGAGTGTCATTAATATAAAAAAAACAAGACGGCTTTAACATTTTATTTTGTTTATTACTATTACAATATTATAAATATACTCATACATATCAAAGCTTAAAATTTAATATTTATCTCTCATTATCTCTAAGATAGATTCAATGAGAAGATTGGAATCTTTTCATAACTGTTTTTAAATTTGGAGTTATTCCTGAAAGTTGGATTCGTAAGTCCGGAGCCGCGTTCACTTGATTTTGAAACTTATTCTTAGTCTTTGTATACGCCGAAAAGCTACAAACTACGCACCACACTTCGGGAAATATGTTAATTCCAGTTCTATATTGAGTTCTATGTTCAAATCAAAATATTGCTAATTAATTTATATTTTCCCAAATTTCACACGGAACCCTTAGGTTCCGCGGAACACCAGTTGGGAAACACTGTTATATAGTATAGATTAATTTATCTTGAAACGACAATACACAAAACTGTACTCTTGTTCTGAAAATTATCTACACAGAATTACAGTTTAGTTTTCGTTGTAACACCGTATAGTCATTTACAAAATGCTGAAAATTAATAATTTTTTTTTTTTTTAAACCAATTTTTAATGGTTTTTTAAGCTTTTCAGAAGATTTATACAGCTTTTTTTGTGCTGTTTTGAGTGATTTTCTTAATTTTTATTGCTTTAAAATCTGTACTATACTTGTAATTTATATTAATTACTGTTAATAAATATACAACTAAAAGATTTTTCGTACCCCTTCTATATAACTGTTTTAAAAAAGACGCTCAAGAAAATGGCTATCTTAAAAATTGAAAATTCTTAAATTCATAAAAAATTGAATTTTATACCATTCAATCAGAATTTCTATAATAAGTATTGTAAAAAAAAACCACGTTTAAATATATTGATTTCCCGTGGAAATATTAAGGGTGATAAGGGACTTATGAGATACACTGTATATTCGAATTTGTTCTATGTAGTGTCTACGGACTACTTTTAGAGAATATGCTCCATAGTTGATCAATAATTTTTCCATTTTAATAAAAAGTTTTCTAAATTGATGAGCATAAGGTATTTTTACCATTATTTTTATAGTTTGTCTTTTATTTATTATAAGCTTAATTAGGTACCTGGCTTCCCCTGTAAAAATAAATGCTTATTTTAATACTAGGTTAAGTAACTATTTTACCTGAAACATTAAAAAATGATAAAAACGCTTGGGTCCAAAAACTTCAGCTTTATGTTACAAATAATAGAGGTCACTTCAAACATTTATAAAAAAAATGTAATGTATTATTTTCGTTTTTATGTAATAAAATCTTTTTTTTTCTATTAATAATGAAGTTTAAAAATATTATATGAATTTTAATTTTAATGTTTCCTAAAAGCTCCATTAATAATTAGGTATTTACAGATTGCC